AGTTTTTCGAGATCGACACATGTTTTGGTCCTTGTTGCAACAGCAGACCCAGTTTTGCTGTTGACTGCTTAAAGTTTTCATTCATCATCTTCCCATCATCCTTCTGTCTTCTTCTTCCACCTTGATGAGTTCCCCTTTCCAGACACTAGGAAGCATCTCCCACAGCTCTGCTCTTTCACTGCTGGGACAGTTTTCTTTGGGTTGCACATCTGGCCCTTCTTTCTCCAAACATGAGCCCTGTGGCTCTCAGTAGTTTGTGTTATCGTTTGTGACTCAGTACGCATGAGTCATTTTGGGGGAAATATTATTTTTATTATTCATAACGTTAATTAAAAAAAATAATGTGCAATACTAAATAGTAATACAATTCGGATTCATCTTTTAATATAATTAAAAACTCTCAGTGTTGTCATTATCTGTTGGACACTAACGCCCCTACCAGCCCTGTAAACTGCTGCAGAGGGCAGAGCAACATCCCAGTGACAGACACACCAGGCGCTGTGTCCACTCTTTCCAAACTGACAGCTTTGCTGATTTTGGGGCAGGAGGAGGACCTACAGAGTGTCAGTGACATGGTTTTAATGTTGTGACTAATTGGTGTGTGTCTGAATAGTATCAGTCTTGTTACGAGTGCTGATACTGAAAACATTATGTTCAAGCTTTCACTAAAGGTTGTGCACATTGAGCTTCTACTCTGGAGACTCTGTGGTGTTTATATGTAAATGATTGTTTTGGCAGCTCATCAATTAATACGTATGAACGTACACATCAGATAACACAAACTGAATCGTAGCATTGATGGTGAGTTAGCAGAGTGACGACTCACAAAGCTGTGAAGTCCCAGTTTTTGTTTTCTCTCACATAACTTCATAAATCTTTTGGGTGTTTTTCCTCTATAGTGGCAAAACCAAGAAAAGAGAGGACTACCTTGAGTGGCCAGAGTACTTCATGGCTGTGGCTTTTCTGTCAGCACAAAGAAGCAAAGACCCGAGCTCCCAGGTACGTCTGCGTTTGCTTATGTGTCAGATACTTTACTATGAGCTCATATCCAAATGTCTGGTGTACAGAACTGAGGTGTGCTTCAGGTTTAGAAGAGTCTGTTACTATGAGTTTACTGTTGTTGTTGTCGTTTGCATGTTAGCATGAGAATGTGTGTTGCTCATCTCTCCAGCTGTCTGAGGACATGAGGAGCTCCCAGGCCGGCCGAAAGGCACGATCTAAACCCACTGTGTTAAAATGAAATATAATGTATCAGCAGGAACATTTCTAATGCAGTAGGTTAATGTGAAAACGGTCAAACGTCACCTTCATTGTCAAGCTGTCTACGCACAGTCCTAGTTTAGGTTGTTTCCTCTTGCTGTCCAAAAACAGGGAGACGAGGTTTAGGCCTGCTCGATGTGATGTGATGATTATCTAACACAGTTACTCAGACTCTGAAGGAAAGGAAAACAGGGAAAAAGTGGAAATTGAACGTGCCACAAAAATTGTATTTCCTCCCAATTTAAATATGCAGATGAAAGAAATAGAAAAACACAAATTTAAGGTGAGCTGAATATTAGAAAGTCTGTCAGGGAGCGACTTTGGGGCGTGCATGATTGTAAAATAGGACTTGGTGGTATAATAATTTAAATTTGATGGTCTTGTTTTTATAGGAATCAGTTCTTTGTGTGTGTCTCTGTATATATGTCCCTCTCTTATGTCCCTCTGTCTCGGTGTCTCTCACAGGTGGGAGCATGTATAGTGAACCAGGAGAATAAGATAGTGGGCATCGGCTACAATGGTATGCCTAATGGCTGTAATGAT